CTAGCGGTAGTGCCATACATAACATAATTCTGACCTTCCCATAAAAACTTGGGCTTGTAGTTTACAGGCAGCTCGGAAAGGAAAACAAACGTTCTACCACTGCTGTGCCACTCATCCTCAACATGACATTTTCTGTTGTTTTCTTGTACCTTCCATGGATTTTTTTTGGTGGGGGGGGTTGTTTCCCTGCCTTCAATTTATCTGCTGGATTGTACACAACACAACTATGCTTTGAGACAAACACTTGTAAGACCATAATTTAGGACATAATGACAATAATTATCTCCTGGATGGTAGTGAGAACAAATATAGTTTCACCTTGTCCTTGCCTGCACCATTAACCCCAATCAACTCTTGGTAGTTCCGGGTACCCACTGGGCGGTGGTGGCAACAGGGAAGGAGGGAGTTCTTGAAGAGGAGGAAAACCAGGTGGAAGGGTGTAAGTAGACTGGGGAGCAGACTTTCCAGAACTTTCCGAAGATTCATTTTTCTTTTGCCTCTTGTTCCACTTGTCAAGCCACTCTTCAAGTGTTGCTTCACATTGACTTGTTTTAGACTGATTCGCTGTCTGTCCAGCTGTGGTGAAAGAAGAGAAAATGTTCTTATAGTGCCCCGGGAAATTCCCCCACCCAATCCCTTATAAAAAAGGACAGGGGTGCTTATCCTACCTTTTAGGGGTTAAAAACATGGTTTTTGTACTCTTGGGGTGTTGAGCCTCAAAAGGTCCACAACAGAAGCTTTCACAATACCTTTTAGGGTATTGAGCCAAAAAATGACAGGAGATAACGTATTGTTTTAGAATTAGTATTCCTCNGCTTTTGCAATACCTTTTAGGGTATTGAGCCAAAAAATGACAGGAGATAACGTATTGTTTTAGAATTAGTATTCCTCTTATGGGTGAAAAACATTTCAAGCCACGCCCACAAAACAGGATCTTGGTACCTCTTAGGGGTTCTTTTCAAAATTTCTGACAAGCACCACCTTCCTTTTTATATGGGAGATGGGAGTCCCCCCTCCCCCCCTTTCCCAAGCTAGGCCTTTGGCCCATTATTACAACCCCTACGGGCCTGTATTCTTGTATTCTTGCCTGAGATCTAACTGAAAATTTCAAGAAGGGAGGGGGGGAGGGAGGGGAGGAGAGGGGAAGCGCTCAACAAAGTTTTATACAGAGTGCTTCTTCCCTGAGGTTTCCATGTTTTGGATCACACCTTCACCAGTTTTCAACTTAAGATAAAAGAGGCTATTCATATTCAGAGGGAACAACTCTCTTTGAATCCAGAATTACACCATGTTTATCTAAAATTATCTCTTTAATTCTCACACTTTCATGCTTTGCTTCATTCTGTTGTTACTATTTATGACAATTAGCATTTTCTACTTATTATTAATTCAGCTTCCATCGCTTTGTACTTGGATTAACTGAGGACTAAAGAAGTTTCTGTCGGAAAATGTTTTGTAAACTCAAATGTTTTGTTTTCTTAAAATAAAACAAAAGAAGTAAGCACAGTCTGTAGAAGTTAATTCTAATCAGCACTTACTTGCAGTTTGTGCTGCCAACAGCACTTGTGGGTTTACATGAGAATACCAACAGCTAGCACCAAATCCACAGGATCCTTTTCACAAAGTAAATATTGGAAAGAATTTTGTATTACAGATTGGCTTAAATAAGAAATTCAATACCACATGGTAAATAACAGTTTTTCTGAAACTTTCAGAACCTCTCATGTTCACATTTAAAATAAATAATCACGTCACTACAAGAAAAACACAGAGGGAATAGAGTGCTAAATTCTTTCAAACAGCTCAAGTCTTGGAAACCCCTCCTAAATCACTTCTTTGATTTCAGATAAAAGTCAGAATAGTACAAGAACATGGTTGATCTATTTCCCAAAAATCCCTCATATAACAGAAATGAACTGTACTGAGAAAATCTATTGACTGCGGGCACACAGTGGCCGACCAAAAAACTGTGACTGCAAGTGCAAAAAGACAACAAAGTCCACCATATTGAGCTGGAACTATGGTGCCTGAGGAAGAGCAGTAGAATTGTCCGAAACATCGCATTTTAAAAAACATTTTAACTGTTTAGAACAAGATTTACTCTATTTATTTTATACACAAGGTAATACTTTCTAAACATGTATAGTATGTCACTGACTGTCACTGTTTTCTCTGTATTAGAGTGAAAGAGCTACATACATGTATATTAGGGATGTAAAAAACTTCAAATAAGAGCTACGTTAGAGTGCATATGTTCCCCAAAAGTGCACCATCATGATTTCATAGTAAAAACAAGCAAAACTCAGTTTAAAATGCCAATGTCAAATCTTCTCTCTGTATTAGATCAAAATACATGTAAGCATTACTTTAGAGTTCACATGTGCTATATACCGGTAAGTGCAACATTGTTGTTACGATTATAGTACAGTGAAACCCTGCAATAGAGCCACCCTGTTAATATGGCCACCTTGTTATTACAGCCACCTTATTCTGGCCCATACAAAAGCTTACTGTAGTCAGTCATTTCCTTATTTAAAGAACCCCTTATACAACCACCCTGTTAATAGAGCCAGATTTTTCTGGCCCGTTGGAGACGGGATTAACGGGCTTCCACTATACATGTAGTTGACTGGTCCATGATAATTTATCACATATTTTCTACAAATATTATTTTTATAACTCACCAGTGGCAAAAAATTGTCGGCAAGGTGGTTTGCTGGATTCCTCAGCTAGGAGAACTGCAGGATCTAAGTAGACAGTCATATAAATTGACAGTTGGTGGCTATGCACATTTTAAAGACACTCGGTGGTTTATTTCTGTAAACCTGTTGCTTCTCTCATCACTGACTATTTATTTCTATCAAGTTCATAAAACCTTCAGAATATTGCAGCTGTAAGCCTTGACCCATTTGTTCCACTTCCGATGTCATCACTTTTGACCAAAATTATCACTTATACTCAAGTTCCACAGGAGGAAAAGATCTTTCTAGTGATGCCCAGACTAGAGTGATTGAGTGATTGAAATCTGCGCGAAAATGCTTAGAAATTTGAGTGAAAAACTCGTAGCAAAATTTTCCTCAACTACATTTGGCTACTCCGTCATAGGAACTTCCTGTCTCAATGATGCTTTCTCAGGAATTCTTGAACTGGAAGCAAGTCCAATAGAAGGTCAACCATCGCAGCAAAAAAATAAGAAAAGAAGAAAACATAAAGGCAAAAAAATTACAAAGACTCGAAAATAAAGCCTAAAGGCATACATGTGGGTCACTTTCTGGTCCAAAAGCTATCTCAAAATTTGGATTTGTGCGTGGGCCCGAGCAAAAATTGTCTTAAAATGCAATGCTATGTAATTGTTTCATAAGGCTTCGGCTAAACAATCAAACAACTTCAACCTTTCACGAGCTGTGTGAGGTGGCGAGACTTCCTGGTGGCAAGGTGACTGGTAACCGGTGCAAAGAAAGGCATGTTTAGCTTTCATGTTGCAAATGCCTTGTGGAGTAGATTGTAGCTAATTTAGCTCATATACATCGCTGAAAATGTCAAAAATGTCTAAAAAATGTGTTTTTGCGAAAAGCCTCAGCTCCAAATGTCCAAGGGTTAAAAGCACCTTTCGTTTAACGCTTCATTCAGGTCGATTTGTTTTAAGCAATGAGCTCATCCCATGGAGTATGTTGAAAAAACCATTTCAATGCCTCTAGATTTCACAATTTAGCAGAATTTATGCCCCCTACGAACTCGCAAGCTAGCCCCCCGTCGCCCTCCTCCCTCCCCCCAATTCAAAATGGGCTCCTTCGTCCCTGGAAAAACATGTAAGGGCGGTAAGGTTAGCTGTTTTGTCAGGACATCAAGTTGAGCGAGTATTAAAGTTTGGTACGTACCCTTGAAGGAATCGTAGTGGAGCTTTCGATTCCTCTTGTGTTGTACGCCATTGATATGATTTTTCCTGGTATGCGGAGTATCAGCAAAAGATCTGTTACAGTATTCACAGTGATACCTTTTTCCCATCCTAGAAAACACGAAACACTGTAATGTTGTGTTGGGCAAATTAAATGTTATTTGAACATGAAAGAAGTTGCGGACATCTTGCTTGGTAGCCGCCCTAATTTGCGACAGCTTTGTAACCGTGCCTTTCAACTCGGAAGTGAGGGAATGGACCGGACTGGATCGCTGGATCGGACTGGACCGGATTGGACCGGATTGGAAAGGGGCGCTTGGATCGGATCGGGTCGCAATTTTGTGGGAAACAGTACTAAAATTGTGAAATCAATACTAACTAGAACGCCAAGGTGAAGATTCAGTGAAATGTTGGAGGGAGAGCAAATTGTAAATTTTTTTTTCCGATTTGTCCACGGAGAGAGTTCGAAGAAGTCTGCCAAACTTTTTAAAGTCGATATTAAGGTCGGCACAGAGAAGGGGACTCTAGTAGTCCCTGCGAATAGTCCCTACAACTAGTCCCCTGAAGAGTTTACACGAAGGGACTGGTCGCAGGGACATATCTCACGAACAGTTCACGAAGCGTTTTGAAGAACAAGTGAGAGGGACTTGTTTTGAAGAACAAGTGGCAGGAACTTGCCCCAAAAATAAAAACCAGTTTGAATTCGTGGGACTAGTCGCAGGGACCAGATTTTAGTTCCTGCGACTAGATTTTGTAGCAAAAATGGCCAGTTCACGCGATGGAACTTGTCCCCGCGACTTGCTGCAGGGACTAGTTGCAGGGACTAGTTCCCTCGTGTGTGCCGACCTTTAACCTTGAAATTGCGCAGTCCATTAAACCACTTTTTTTTTTATCTTCGGTGTATTTTTATCTTTATATATCTTGCTTTTTTTACATTGATGACAGTGATAGGTATATCGTTACTAACTCGATACACAATCTGGCTATTTCGAATTTAATTCGATGGTCCTGCGTTGAGATGTTTTAACTAACTCTCCACCCAGGACCTTCGAGAGAGATCATCTCGGACATCAGGGATTGAGAGTATCGTCTAATACAGGGAAACCCTGGTTTACGTCCTGTTTGAATTCTAAACAAGCCTCCGGACAACGGACATGAAGAAGATATCCGATGCTGTTATCTCCAGGGAAAAGTTTGGCAAAATATTATTGGAGAATTCATTATGTTGCCCCATTGGGTTAAGAAAGCACCCTGAGTCTTCATGTTTCCTCTTCTCTGGACTGTACTTGCACTGCCACTTGTTCCCGCACCTGACGATCGTCTTCTTAATGCCTTTTGGTTTTGTTTGAATTCTCGACAAGCCTCTGGACAACGGACAGGAAGATATCGTAGCTTCAAACTTCAATTTGCCAAGCTGTTATCCCTCTTTGATAAAGGGTCGTAACTACTGAAGTCCAAAAAAACTAAATGCAACCTAACATATGATCGCAATGAGCCGATTAAAAACTGTCATATAATGCGCGCTTTCCGTGAAAAAGGAAAAAGGTGTAAATAACAAAAAATTTAAATTGTCAATGAGGGTCAGATCGGGCCAGATCGAATCGAATTGAATTGTATTCCTAAAAGAACCCGGAAGTGAAAATGCGCTGTTTACTTTATCAGGCGTTACGCTTGCATTTCACGCTTGTTTGGTTTAGCAGTGGATTTCTCCGCGCTCTGAGACAAGTGACACGAGGCTGGGCAAAAGGGCCTTTTGATTTTCGGTATCCAAAAGTATCTACCAGCAACCCTTACCGCTGACCACGGAGCAGAATAAACTCTGGGCTTAAGATTGAGTTCATCCTTGGGTTTCGCTTTCAAAGCCAAGCTAAGCATGAGTCGATCTTGTGGCATAACTTTGGTGGTGAAAGATGGAAAGCAGTTCCAGGCTGACAGAAATGTTCTGTCACGGGCGAGTCCATTCTTTGAAAAGCTTCTCAGTAGCGACATGAAAGAGAGTAATGAAGGAGTTATTCGACTACAGACGATAACGGACTCACAGATGGCGGACATTCTGCAGTTTATTTACAATGGCAGCGTTCAGATGACCTGTAAAGGAAATGCAGAGAAGCTGATCGAAACGGCAGATTTTCTTCTCCTTTCAAATCTTAAAACTATTGCCGGCAAATTTCTCGAGCAACACATCACCACTGAGACCTGCATTTCAATGAACTACTTGGCGGAACAGTACTCATGTGAAGAGCTAGTCGCGAGCACCCGGAAATTCATCAATTCAAACTTTACCACCGTCACTGCTTCTAAAGAGTTTCTAAATTTGCCAAGCCATGCGGTTGAAAAATGGATTTCAAGTGATGAGATAGAAATTGACGCCGAGGAAAACGTTTTTGAAATCATACTTAGATGGATTGATCACGACAAAAGCGAACGAAGCGGAAAATTCAGCGACTTGTTTAGTCATGTACGACTTACTTGTGTATCGCGCGACTATTTACTGAGCCATGTCGTGACTAATGATCTTGTAAAAGAAAATGCAGACTGCCTCGACAGTGTGACAGGCGCATTGGAATGGTTTGATCGGCCAACAGATTGTGATGTTCCGCGGCCACATCCCCCTAGGAAGGCTTTAACGATAAATGGTATCGTGATCGCAGATTGTCGTGGAGAACTGCAACCTTGCATTTATTTTCCAGCAGCAGATGAGTGGTACCTTCTGCCAGCAACTGAAAGCCAGCGACTCAATGCCATGGAACACATATTTTCCTGTGGAGGCAAAGTTTTCTTTATTGCTGATGATATTGCCAGATCGCACTGTTATGACCCAGATTTGAACCGCTGGTATCCAGCGCCGTGGACAAACAACCTCCCATTCTCCGCAGGAACACCTTTAGTTGTCGAAGACCGAATCTGTTTCATTGTAGAAGAAACTAGCTCGACCGCTCTTTGGACATACAGCGTCGACTCCAATTCGTTGACGCCATTGCTAAACTGGGTTGAAAGAGCTCATTTTTGCGCTGTGGCTGTGGACAGTTACATATACATCATGGGTGGAAGGGTGAAGAATACTGGCGAATCGGTCTCAGAATGTGCAAGATTCGACACTGAGCAAAATAAATGGCAAAAAATAGCGCCTTTGAATGAGGCGAGGCACAATGCTTTTGGTGTCTGTAAAAATGAAAATATTTTCATTGCTGGAGGTTCGGTAATGGAAGAGGGGGAACTAGAATACCTGAGAACCTGTGAAGTTTATAACATATTGACAGATGAGTGGCAGTTCATAGCCGAGGAGACACTTCGTCGAACTTTCGGGAGTATGGTGTTGGTTGACGAAACTTTGTACGTGCTTGGTGGTCACCCAAAAGAACTCTGTGCATGCTTAACCAAGAACTATCGCGATAAAGTTGAGTGCTATAACCCTGAAAGTGATCAATGGAGCGTCAAGGCTACTGTTCCCGTTAACAAGATGACAAGCGAGAAAAGAGCGATGCGACGGTACGTTTTTCAAGGCTGTTCTCTTCGAGTTTTTAAAGGAGTTCTGACCAACCTGGAGTCTATAGCTGAGAGTGACTAGTATTCTGTTCGCCTCTCGCTTGCGATAGAGAGAAACTCTGTACGATGCTCATTCGACAATCTTGGAACGCCGTGTATACTTTCGTTAAATCGACTTTGTTCTTCCCACTTCAGCGTTACATATTCTGCGATCTAACGACTTCAACGCCGATTCAACAATTCTAACTAAGTTAAGATTACACTTTTCGTTTGATACCTACAGATATCCACACCCAGACACGTGAGTCCGGTGTTGTGTTCAGAAAGTTGCAGCATCTCTCAGTTCGTACATCACGTTCTACACACGTTCGTGGGCACTAACTGCCTGTTTCGTGAGCTTATTTGACAATTTCAGTGATAATCTTTACCGATTAATCTTACATGCCGCTTTACCTTTAATTACACGATTAAATAACAAAGTTCGGCTTTTACGCGCGTCTTCGCGGTAAGACGCGGGCTTTATTTAATTTCGCTTCCGTTTCCGGCAAAGTTATGGCCTCTTTAGTAGAAGGAAACGTCTGCATTGAAAATATCAAACTTTAGGAGGGTGTAGAAAAAAACCCAAACCACATCTGGAAAATCGCCGTCATCCTTTTTGAAGGTGATGTGTGAGAAAACATTTCCGGTGTTAATCGCGCCGCTCCGACAATTCACGACCGGAAGCGAACCAGTTTAAGCGAAGCCGAGTGTTCCTGGGTATTTCATCTAGTATCACTACGACAATAACTTTTTAGAAAATTTCAAAGATATGATTGTATTCTATGACAATTAAGCTTTCAGAAAATGTATGAGTTGATTGGGTTTTCTTTCAAAGCGCCAGCGTAAGAGCGCGATTTCCAAACACTGTCAATCCACCTACTACGATACCTTAGGCTTCTGGCATTCGTAAACTTGAGAGGATTCAAGAAAAAGCACTCAGTGCAGTGTACCTTGACAAAGTCTCAACTCAAGGCGAACTGTTGCATGGCTGTTGCCGGATTACCAACACTGTACAAATGAAGTCTCCAGGATATTACTGTTTTGATGTATAAAGTTAAGAATAATCCGAATCTATACCTTCAGTAAGTTACCGATCTTTTTCAAAGACAACAAAGCAATTTTAATCTGAGAACCTCAGACTTTGTCATACCAAGATTCGGCACAGTCATCTCTGAAAAACATTCGGTCAAATACTTAGGCCCAAAATTATGGGCCAAGATACCGTCCCATTGAGGTTAAATCAAGAGGTTTCAGGGATTTCAAAAACTATATTAGAGACAAAGACCTAAGTTTCATAATTTAACTACTACAAGGGAATGTGAATGTTATTTACGCTCGGGTTAGTTATTTGTAGCATAATTTATGTACACTTCGGGTGCGTTTCTTTAAGAAAATCCAAGATTGGATTTTTAATCCGAAAACGGATTTTGCGTTTCTTTTCTAAACAGATTAATCCAAGATCTCTCGGATCATGGTACATCAAAGGAACCGAAGAATCCAGACTGGGCAAGGATTCTTCGGTACACTTCTTTTCATGCACGACGATCCGAGTGATCTTGGATTGATCTGCTTAATAAGAATCCAATCTTGGATTTTCTTAAAGAAACGCACCCTTAGTTTTATTAGTTTTATTGTAATCATATTTATAATCATTATTATAACTATTATCACTTATTCATGTACATTTAGTTTTGTTAGAATCATTATATTATCGTAATTAGTTTTTTTATCAATTCCGTCTAACTAACTTAGGTGTCCTCAGTTAGCAGCAGTGCTAAATTTATTTGACTCAAATAAAATTATTAGTATAATCTTCGTTTAGTCAGTGCTAGTCATTAACGGTGGGAAAAGATTCTGTGACGAACAAGCAGTACTTTTGTGTGGGAGGCTAACCAGACTTTGGCTCTACAGTAATCCGCTGTTAGCCAATCAACTAGCGACGTCTTTTGACATCATCTAATCAAAGCAAAGGTAGCCGCCACGCATCTAGTCTCCTCCGCAGCCGTTTTTTGGGATGTCACGCAACGCTCCCCCCAAAGAAACGGCTGCTCACATCCGAACAACATTCCTTTCACGAAATTAACCAATCACCGCTTCCGTTACATTTTCAAGAACGTTTTCGCGCCAAATTCGCCCTTTGAAACTTGTCCAATCAGGGAATGTTTTTTATCGTTGTATCCCGTCGTGGGAGATGTCACAAATAAACATACAGATTTCCGGCTTTTGTTTAGGGACGCCGAAAAATACCGGCGACGCTTGAACGAGCTTTCT